TTGCTCCCATATTAGAAGGAGCTGCCGGCCCTGGTTTGCTTGCCAAGGTAACCGTTCGCGTGGGAATTACTTCCGTTGTCTTCACCGTTGGTTTTCCGCCGATGGCACTGCCCTTTGTCGGACGGTCAATCGCGGATTCTCCCATACCTTGAGCTGCTGTGGCGATATCCTCAATCAATTGGGCGCTGCGCATTATTTGGTCTAGTCCAATGGGTTCTGTAGCCAGAACCTCTGCCCGTAAAACCGGGTCCAACCCGTTGAGATAAGCCGATTCCAACACCTCGTCGGGTAGTTGGGGTAAAGTCGCCGATAAGGCTTCAAATGCTTCTTGATATTCCTCAACGTTCCCTTCTTGTTTGATCGACAACAGGCGAGCACATTGTCGGCCTTCCTTCGACTTTCGGAATCGATCCAGTAGCCTTGTCCTCAAATTCTCCCAACCAGTGAATCGATCTCTGTTCTCATGATAACGGTACCACGCTAGTGCTACCCCATCAAAACTTATTACTGATACAACTAGTTTTTCCTCGTTTGTGAGTTTATGTATTTCAAAGTACCGTTCGGCACGAAATAACCATGAGTCAGGATCCTTACCGATAAATATTGGCATTTCTACCTTCTTGAATTTGCTTCGGTCATACCCTGGTTCGTTAATCTGGACAATCCTCGTCGGCTCTTTCGTCTGCTTATCTCTCCGAATCGACGATTCACCGAGTTGCGTTAGTGAAGAAGCCTTCCCGCCAATTATCTCCGACATGAATCCTTCCAACATCGATTGGATGCGCTCGCTCATCGCCCGCTGTTCATCCACCTTCCCACACAGACTAGTAATGGCGCCTTTGATGTCGGTGATCTCCTTCTCCGTCGCCTCGCATCGCAGTTCAAGTTCCTTCACCGTCATCTGCGATTCAATTTCCCAAGTTCGAATGGCTCTGATACCAATATGAGAGGTATCTCCTCACAAAGATTTTGGAATTCAAAAAAAAAGCCCGAAGGCGGTTACAAGCAACACCCCACCAATTCGAGAGGGTGGGTAACTCTCCCTACCGCTACCTTGAGCTAGTAATCTTTCCAATCCCTCCTCCCCTCTCTCCCAAGTCTATTTCTACTATGCCCTAACCAACCACCCGCCTGCCCCCAGTTTCTCTCTCCAGGCCGTTATTCTCTTTCGCTCCCTTGATTATTCTCCTCTTCCTAGTACAATTCCCTTTCTACCCCTTCTAGAATACGTTTTAGTTACTGGAGGTCTAACAGAAGATCAGATTCATATTTTCTTCTGTTGCTCCTATGCAAGTCTTTGTTGGCAACTGCTGTTTTCCGCTTTCAACATGCAGTGGGAATTTAGTTCAACGATGTGTAGGAGAATTTTACAATTTTCTTTTAGCTCAACAAAATGTAGGGAAAAAGAGAGTAAATCCAAATGTAAGGATGCTCTATTCTCTCTCCTCCCTTAGGGTTTCAGTTTTTTAAAACTTGTTCATCAAGATTGATTCAATTACGCTTCAAGTTGGTTACAAGACTAGGATCGATTTTAGATCAGTGTGTGCTCTCTGTTACAAGTTTGTTCATTCAGTCCAGCTTGATTTCAGTTCTTCTGTCACAAGTCTAGCCCTGTTGTCTTACTGAAAAAGCCATGGAAATCAATAGATGTGGTGTGATTAACAAGCACTTCTGCATTTGGGAAGAAAAGGATTGCTTTTTTGTTGAAGATATGTCCTTAAGAGCTGTATTGCCTATTCAGTTGCCCCACTTGGTATGGTTTGAGGAAGCTTTAGTGGATCCGTTGCAACTACCGATTCAATTGTCTTTTCTTAGACAAACTAGAACTCCAGGGGAAAATTGTCGAATCCAGAAGTTAGAATCACCATTTAGCTGTGAAGTGGGATGCACTGTTTGGCCTACCTCAAGTGGAAGAACGAGAATTTTCGTTCCCATAGGACATGGGCCCAGCATCAGAGGAAGATTTAGAAAATTCCAAAATTCCAGGAAAAAAAGACAAAAGAAAAAAACCACTTCCTCCAGTTTTAGTTTGATGATTACTTTAAACCATACTCTATAATCACACCTGAATTAATAATCTAAAAAATGAAAACACCTACGCATGAGCATGACGGTGAAAAGAGCAGACCTGCAGCAGGTCCAGATAATAAAGCCCACGGATATCCGTTGAAATAACCATTACGATAGTCATTGCGACTATTCCGAGAAGAAGAATTCACGTTGCCTGCAAGAACAACATATCAGACAAAAATGAAAGCCAGCAAATCAATTAAAAAAACATGTCCCAAACACGAGTCCTATCACAAGATAACTAAAAACGACACATAATTCTGTAATTCAGAGATCAGAGCGGAAAAACCATATGTTCTGTTTCCATTACTAGCTGAACAAACGTCAATCCAGACATTGTATAATTCACACCATACCATTGCAGGACCAACACTGTTGCATCAGCAAATATAGCTACATAGAAGACGAAAAGGCTTGAATTACATACAGCGGGAGGAGAAGATCGATACGTTGATGGAGGTAGGAGCTTCGGAAGTGCGATTGAATGTTGTAGAACGGAAGGTCAGTCGCTTCAACCATTGGGAAGCTGCTCGTCTGGTGTACATCCTCGTCTGCTTCGGCCTTCCGGCGGTTTCTCGATGAGTGAAAATGGAAGAACGTTAGGTGGAGGAAGGCGAGGGGGTTTTAACTGCTTCCATGGGGTTTTAGCTGCACAAAAGGTTCAAGGGTGATTGCCGCGAAAATCTTCTCAGTTTCATCGACTAAATATAAATATCCCTCGCGACTGAAATTCGAACTCACAATAAAGTATGTTTTGTCTATTCTTTTACAATATTATGAAAAAATTGTATCGGTATTGTTATAATGGTGATTTTTTTTCTCATGAGAGGATTTCGAAAATTCTAAATTGATAAATCCGATGTAATTCTGAAGTACTTCTATATACATTTAATGTACCCCTAATATATAGTATCAGATATACCATGATATACATGGTTAGATATACTACTTACATATATCAAATATACGTATTATACATATAATATATATATTTGATGTACTTATAATTTATGATATACTAAATATATTTCTAACTAATATACTAAATATATTTGCAACTGATATACTAAATATAATGTATATCAAATATTAAATTTTTAGTGGTATATCAGCCGTTTAAATTATAGTTTACTATTTCAATTTGTTGATTAATATACTAATATTATCAATAATGTTGGTGGTTATATTACTACTATTTATTTAGTATTAATATTAATTAGATACTAAATATAAGGGATATCAGTTTAAATTTATAAAGTATATCAAAATGTTAACTTGTCTTTTTGGATGTGCAGGGTCCACGTAAACCTTTTATATAATAACTTTATATTTCAAAAATAAAAATAAAAATTTGTGCACCATTGTTCTCATCTAAAAAAAATATTGGATATAATAGTATGATATCAACACACATATATCATAATTATATTCGTAGATATAATGGTTATATCGGAGTTATATAAGTGGTAAATTAAAAACATATTAAGTATATATCAGTGTTATATTAGTGGTAAATCATATAATCATATAAGAAATTATATCAGTAGACACCATAGTTATATTAGTGGTATGTCATTTGTATATTAATGGTAAATTATAGACATATCAAATATATATCACATTTATATGGGGTAAATCAATAGTTATCATACGTATATCATTGGTAAGACATGTTAGAAGTTGAGTAGATATCATGATTATATCATAAATAAATCAATTGTATATTATTATTATATCAGTGGTCAAATATATTACAAATATATATATGATATATAAATGGTGAATTTGTAATTTTACAGTTGGACCTCCGTTTTTTATAAAACAAAATGCTATAAATGTGGTTGCTATTTTGTTTATTTTATTAAATTTTTTTGCAATATTTGCAAGTTCTCCAATATATTATTTACTGTTACAAACTTATGCTCCCAATTGGTAGGAAATGATTTCGAATTTCATGATCTTAAACTATAGAAATGATTTCAAATTCTTAATTGCATTTGAAACCAAAATGATTATAAATCATTTAAATTAAAATTTATTGTATGGATCTTCACAAAAAATAAAAAGAAAGTATAATATTTTACTATTATACCCTTCATATTTTGCAAAGTATTATGTTATTAATAATATAATATTTAATATAAAATAGTAATTTTAACCATGTAAAACATGAATAATTTAATGAAATCAACCTCACAAAAATTAAAACTTGTCAATGTCACATTTATTTTAAAAACTAAACTAAAAAAAGTTGCAAATGTCTTGATTGAAATATTAAAAAAGAAAAACTTAAAATCAAACAATTTCAATTTATTTGCAGTAGTGTGTGTTTTTTTTTTTATCATAGTTATTTTACGATGTGTCGTACTAAAAAATAAAAGCAAAAGAAAAAAAGAAGAAAAAAAAAGGTAAGCATATAAGACCCAACAATATTGAAATATAAGAAAAATTAAATAAAAAAAAACAAAATACAAAATCAACACTAGTTTATTTGAATGGTGATAAAAACAAAAATGCAAGGAGAGTCAATTTACCGAATAAAGAAAAAAAAAGAAAAAGATACGACATATAAAACTTGAAACTAATTTGGTTAGGAGGTTGTAGTGATAAGTATTTTTTTCCATTAAAGTATGACAAAATTGGAATTTTTTAGGTTTAAACCTAAAATCCTCCCAAATCCGATCTATTTTGAAACGGAAAATACTTTAACCAAAAATAGCATTTCAAATTCTTTTTATTTATGTATCCAAACAAGTGAAATCAAAGTTCAAAATAGAGGTTAGTCTATTTAAAAAAATTGAAATACGTACAATTTTTCAAAACTGCAATTCAATTTCTAAATCATCTACCAAATACAAAAATATGAAATATTTGTATTGACTAATTTGTTTTCAAATCATCAACCTACAAAACCCACCGCCCCTGACTCCTTGGATATGGGGAAAAATGCCCATAGCTCAAAAGGGAAGGATCCTATTGTTGATGATCACGTGATTACTCATTTCACCCCCAAACCTGCCTTACCACCCTCTGACACTGTTCCTTTGCATACAGAAGGGCTTTTGTTTCCTCATCTCTCATCTACATCCCCCCAACCAAACAAACCCCTGTTCCCTCCTACCCGAACCCAAACAAGTTATCCACAAACCTAAAATAGCCGTTGAGATTAAGACAAAAAAGGCCTTCCTCATCTCTGGCACAAAGTACAACACCAATCCTCTCCCCTCAGAACCCGAATCAGAAAACCATCTCTCCAGTCCTTACCCAACCTCACATGCCTCCTTGCTACAATAAGTCCTAATAGCCCCCCCGCTAATTTTGAGCACCTCGCTTTACAATTATTTTCGGAAGAACAAGAGGAACCTTCTCCTTTTCCTCCTTGTTTCTTTGACCCCTCTATCCATCCCTCAATTTATCTGCAACCAGTGGTCCCGTGGCTGAGAACGATGGGGTTGGGTATTCTTCCCCTACCCTCCAAGACGCCCAAGCTAAACAAAGAGCTGAAGAAACAGAACAAATACGTCAGAGAGCTTACAGGCCTTTACTCATCCATTAATTATGATGGACCATCTTCTT